GGAGCACTCCCTCTTGGCCAGTCTGCAATAACTACACTCACACTATCTCCTGAGGCCTCAGGGCATCTTAGGGACGTGAGCTCTGTTATTTCTGCTCCCTCCACCCCAAGTCCCCCAGAGATCTCACAGTCACGTGGCTAGCAAGTGGCAGAACCAGGATTCAAACCCAGGAGCCAGCCCATCTCAGTCCATAAGAGCTCGCCGCCTGCCTTGCGAACGTCCCGAGCAGGGGCTAGCATGAATGAGGCACGTGCAAAGGACCAGGCGAGGTGCCAGGACTAAGAGATGCTTTGTCATCAGCGTGGCTGGAGCACAGGAGGGGCAGCCAATAATGACCAGCGGTGCAGAGAAATCCTCTCCAGCCCACGCCTGTGCGTCTCAGGGGGTGCAGAGCAGTCTCTCATTGCCTTGCTGGCAGTGTTTTCCATGCCACCAGGCACCCAGCATGTTTCAGCATCACCAGTCTTTTCTACCTGACTCTACGGTGGGTGGGCATCAAAGGGACACCAAGCAGGGTCCCAGAGCAAGGGACAGAAAACAGAACCACGACCTGGAGAAGAGATCCCGACCAGGGAGGGACACACCAGTGTGTGTGTGTGCGTGTGTGTATGTCTGTGTGTGCACATGGTTCGTACGCATGCCTGTTGTGGGGCCTGGAGGTGTGTTGAGCCAGGGATGCCTCCTGGGACAATGAAGCCAGAACAGGACCCCCGCCACATGTGCCACCTGGCATGTGCCAGTGTGTGTCTGCGCTTTGGGAAGGATGGTCCAGCCACAGACTCCATGATTCTGATGCTCCCTCACTACCCAGCGCATACCCTGACTTGGGCCCTGGATCCGGGTTATTTTACTGCCGAATTCCTAGCGACAAACAAGGTGGCTCTCACCTAGCAGGGTATTTAGTAAAAAGGTTTGTTGAATGAATGAATAACTATGTAAATGAATGTCTGAGGGTGTGACAGAGGGACCCTCCGCAGCCGCAGTCCTCTGGGGATGACTTCCACAGACACCGGGTTCACCAGGACCCCAGCTGGGGCCCGACCTTTCGCCCCTCACTCACTTTTATGCCTGGGAGCTGACGGCTCCGTGCACCAGGCCGAAGCACCCGGCACCGGCCTTTCCAGAAACCTCCGCCACCAGATCCGCACGGGCTCTGCCGAGCGGATGGATCTCCGCCGCGAACCAGGGCCACCCACCCCCTCCCGTTCTCCCGTTTTATTTTTCTCACCTGCTCCTCGGCCCACACCTGCGTCTCCCTGGCAGGCACCGAGGCCCGTGTGGATGCCAGACCACCCCTCTCTCTAGGCACCTTCCCCGTCCTTGCCGGCTGCCACCCCCACCCTCTCCCCGGCCTTTATGAGGCCAGGAAAGTGTTCTTCTGCGGGGTCGGTAGCATCTTTAAAAAACGATTTTCTTGCTTCTCGGAAGGGGCTAAATATAGCACAGGCATAAACAGAGAAATAGACATTAAGTCAAAATGCCCTTGTGAGAACCATGCCGGGTGCAAGGAACTCTTTAAGAAGACTTGATGAAGCTCCCCCATCCCTGGAACCGACCGCAGCTCCAAGCCGTGAGGGAAAGCAGCCCGGCTTTTTAGGATTATTGAACTGTGCCGTCGGCGGAGCTGCTCAGCGCACAGGTGCGTTAGTGGTTGGTGAGCCCTGGGGACGGTCCCCGCCACCCCTCCTCCCCTCCTGAGGAGGAGCTGGTGCCGTCTTGTCCTGGCCTGTGGGCTTCTCGGCACCCCGCCCCCAGACTTCCTGGGCAGCCTTGCTCCGGCTCCATCAGAGCTATCATACTGCACCCAAGTCTGGGTGTCTCTTGGCACATCCCCGCTTCCGCAGTCAGGATTGTGGGCTGAGCCGAGCTGGAGTCATCCCCTGCCTCCCCCTGTGCCCCGTCCCAGGGCACAGCCTCCAGCAGGTGCTTCACAGCTCAATGCTGAATGAATTCTGGTGCCTGGTCCCCTCCTGGCATCGAGTTTCAACATTTCCATCTGCTGTGACATCCTGGGATTTTTGTTCCTGGAGAACTTCAGGAAAGGAAGTTTCACCCCACTGTCTCAGGACCCTCTTTGAGGAAGTTCTTCCTTGAGTCTAACCGACTGCTCCTTAAGAGAGAAGGCTGCTGTTGTTTTCACCTGAGAAGTGGCATTTGTTCCTGAACTATCCTCATCAGCGGTCCTAGGTGTAGGTTCCCACCTCCAGGATTTCTGTACCTGGCTGACTTCTGTGGACCACGTGGGCCACACCGGCCCTGCTCTTGGCATCTTGGCAAGAGGCCGCTTCATTATCCAGAGAGCCCCGAACACCACCTTTTCCCATGTTGCTGCTGGGTAGCCCTGAGGATTCTGCGAAGATCAGATATCATCTGGTTTTCTGCTGCTCATATGAAACAGTCCACATTCAAGGGCATTCAGGGCTCCCAGCAGTCCTCCCTGTGACCTTTGTGCCGGGATCACCTCACTGGTGCCTGCACTGGTTGGGCTTATTCCAGGCTCCACACCTTCATCTATGCTGTATCCCCTCTTCGGACTGTCCTCTCCCCTTTCATACATCCTCCCTGTATACACACTCATTTATCCTTCCACTGATGCAAAAATATTTAATCAGTGTCTACCTGGTACCAGACCCTCAGCACCAAAATTTGAGAACAAAGTCAGAGCTATACATATTTACCTTCCTAATGCCCCTCCTCCCTGCCAACCCACTGCAAATCAAGAAGGACCTGACCACACCCAGGGAGCCTGGGCAACTGGGCACTCTTAACTGACTGGCTGTTGGCAGGGTGGGAGAGTGAGATCACCACGTCGTTCATTCCTGGAAGCTGCACCTGTGACACCGCTGCTGGACGTGGTGGGCCCAGGGGTCCAATCAGCACAGTGAGCAGCCCTGGGCCAAGCTCGGTGGGACTGAGAGAGGAGGTGATCCCCCCCTCTGTCTGCCGCTCAGCAGAGGCAGCCAGCCTGGCACTCAGGAGGCACTTGCATGATGTGGGAGGTGGGCTGGAGGTGCCTTGAGTGGCTGCTAGGAGGGGAAGCAGAGGACTTCAAGAGGAGCACGGTTGGGAGGAGAGAGGAGGTGGGAACTGGGTGAGCAAAGGCCCGGAGCTGGGAGGATGGTTTGATGTAGGATGGGCTCCGCTCCCCGCAGGACCGGCTGGCTGTCCCCACACAAGTGCAGTGAGGGGTGCCTCGGTTGGAGGGTGGGCGTTCCCATGGAAACCGCCGCATCCCATCTGTGGCCTCAGACAACCTGCCTTGTGCCTCTGGGTCCCTGACACCCCCGCCAAGGTGCCAGGCCAGGATGGCAGAGTTGGTGCTCGTGTCTGGAGAGGAGTTTGGATGACTTACAGACTGGGTGCCCATGGGGAGGTAAGGTGCTATGGTTCGGAACCCTGCCTTCTCGCCCAAGCCCCTGGCTCTCTTGGATTCCAGTTGCCACCCCCTCCTGCTTCCTGGCTGGGTGTAGTTTAGCCTTTCTGAGCTTCAGTATCCTTTTAACCATGTCCTACCTTGTAAACCTGAGGTAGGGACTGAAAGAGGTGTGCCTGCAACCACACAGAGCACCTGTGCTGGTCAGACTCCGGCCATGTGGCCTGTGCCCCGGAGCGCAGGGAAGGAGGACAGCAGGGTTTGTAGCTCCGAGCTGCTGGAGTCAGCAAACATCTGCCGTGTGTGGTCGGGGCTCTGCCTCTCCCGGCCAGGGTGCTGCCTCTCCCGGGCCATGCGCTTGCCGGAGGGGTTGGCGACATCACCAAGGAGACACCAGCCATGCCCGCCGTGGGCAGGAGCTGCCGCAGGGGCCCTGGGCTGGGGAGCGGGGGTGGCCCCAGGCCTCCCCGCGAAGCTGCGGGCATCCTGTGGTCGCCCTGGCAGCCCAGTCCTGGAGCCCAAGAGAGAGATGCAGAGCCGCGCCTGACCCCTGGTGGTCATCGGCAGAACTGCAGGATCGGCTCCCAAGCCTGGAGGAGTCGCTGCGCTGGAGGGGCGCCCAGGTCTGCCGAAGCAGTCCATCTTTGGGGAGTTGCTTCTGTAACGGGGGCCCTGTGCTGTTCCCCACCGCGGGGCTGCTGTGGCCTGGGTGGATTCCGCTTCCTTTCTCCAGGTGTCATGAGATTGAATACCACCTGAGGCTTTGATGAGATTGGTCTGGATTTGTAATACAGACCATTGAAAAAGAAACAAAAAGATAGGCTCTTAGAGGCCAAACGCCAACCCCAGCCCCAGGCCACTGGCTTCTGGGAAAACAGACATATACTGCCTTTCTGCTCTGGCTGGCATGAGGGAAGAGCTGACTTGGGCTATGGAGAGACGGAAGCGTTTAGCCAGAGGGTTCCACCCAGGCCCTCTATTCCCAGGCGGATTAGGACTGACTGTACACAAGGTCCTTCTGGCCAGAGCACCGTCACATGAAGGCACAGGCAGGCTCCCTCTCCAGCCCCTCCAGGGGTAGATCTGCCCCCTGCCTCCACCTTAGGCACTGCTGCCGCCCACTGTCTGCGCCGCTAGGACGTTTCTTGGCTGGAGAGCTGCATGGCACACGTGCCGTATCCCTCCACCAGGCTCCGAGCATTTCCCCGGAAGGACCGTAGAGGGAATCTGGGGGAAGCCTGCAGGCGATCGGATATAATTTCCTCCTGATCATTAGAGCAAAAGGGAGACGGAGAGGTGAACAGCGATGTTTTCAATTCCCGCTGCCTCCCCAGCCTTTCCCCTCTCCCTCCGGATAGCCAGACCCCGTGGTAAGACCTGAATGGGCTAAAAACAAAAATTCACAGGGAGCCCTGGTTGGCAGCAACAGGAACCCATCCCCAAGCCCCGAATCAACGTGGCGTCTTGGCAGCTGCGTCGCCAGAGCACTTTTTCGTTCTTGCATTTTGTTTTGTCATAATCGAGATGCTTTTCTGTGGCTCTCGGCTTAAATGCACCGAGTGGGAGGGGTCGGGCATGCTCTCCATTCTTCTGCCTTCATGCGTGTCTCCTTTCTTCGCCTTTGCAGAACCACACGATGAGCCAGCATGCACAGTGAGGGACCGCTCGACAGGACTCCTCTCCGCAGAAGGCTTGCCGGAGACGCCGTGGGGAGGGCCATTTGAACATTACATCCAATCAAAGTGTCATTTGCAACCCAGATGTAAAACTCTAATGATTTGGCCATGAGGCGCTGCTATTATAAGCAGCTGGAAATGAATATTAATGGCAGAGATTAAAAGTATTCCATGCTCAGTATTTTTTATTGTCCTGCTACAGCTAGTGTGCTTTTAGAGTTTCCGCCGCAGACTACATTTCTAGAGTTAGAGAAACCCGCTTTTGGAAGCGATTGTCCTTTGTTCCTTCATGTATTATATTGATAGTTTTTTTAAAAAAAGGATTAGTGTGATTTTTTTTTTTCTTCGCTTCTTATTTTTCTTTCTTGTTTTTCTTTCCCCCCCTTCGGTTAACTACTTTTTAATTGCAATTCTAGGTAATTGTGCATCGTGATGTGATTGCTTGGCTATTGTCTGAATATTTCCTTTTAATTTTTTAATTAAAGACTAATGCTTTGATTGGATTTGCCAGTTCACCGGACAGTGATTAAAACTATGTAATGAATATAATCGGTTTCAGTGCAACTGGATGGTCTGCTTTTAAATGTGACTTAATCTGACTGCAGTAACTAGTACAGTTCAATAAAGGGAATCCATGCGATTAGCATCCGCCTGCCTGGTTCTCTCCTCCCCAGCCCAGGGCTGTGTGGGGGCTGTCGTCACCTAGGGGGGGAGTTCCCGTGGGTCACACATGCTCGTGGGGTGTGCTTGGGCTCAGCCACTAAGTCATGTCCAAGTCTTTGCAACCCCATGGGCTGTGGCCCATCATGGCTCCTTTGCCCGTGGGATTTCCCAGGCAAGAATATTGAGTGAGTTGCCTTTACCTTCTCCAGGGGATCTTCCTGACCTAGAGATAGAACCCAATCTGCACACGTTAGACCCAGCTCCCCTTGAGAAGGAAGAAGCATAGCAATCTAATGCACACAGACTAGATGAGCTAGTAGGGGTCACTGAGGTCAGAGCAGGAAACACCTTTGAATACCCTGGTCATCTCATTTATGCATGGGAAAACTGAGGCCCAAGAATAAGTGAGTGGCTAAGCTGAGTATGTTAGGGTGACTCACATTCATCGCTGCCCCTTGGGTCTGGCTTTCCACAGTGCTCGATGCAGCTGGTTACATGGTTAATCCTTACCTAGCCAGGACTCCAGGCAGAACCTGGATTCTAGCTGTGGCCAAGGCATGGGGATGGGATAGGAGTCAGGGGTGGCTCTACAACCCTATGAGATCCAGAGCTGGGGCTGCAGAGTGGAGCCAGGTAGGAACAGCAGTTTTCCAAACACAGAAATCTGTGGGATGTGGAAGTTCTACCAGTGGCTGCAGCCAGGACTCTACTGGGGCAAGTGAGGTGCCTAGGATGCAAAATCTCAGGGGGGCCCTGCTCTCAGGGGCCCGGACGGTGGGTGTCTCCTGACACTTTGCACCCTTAGGCACCTTGCTTGCCTCACTTCTTGGTCTTGCTGGTACCCCAGGGCTCGCAGCACAAGCCTGTCCAGCTTGTGCAGCTTCCCACAAGCCTGTCCTCCCATGCCTCCATCATGCTGGTGCTCAGCCAACTTGTCAATCAGAGCCAGGGCTTTGGAACCTGCATGGGGAAGCCCTTGTTAACTTTTCACAAGGGGCAGGAAAATTGGTTATTACCCTCTGCAGAGCGGAAATGAAACAGGCAGGCAGATTGCACCTAATTATAATGGAATACTAAGTCATGGTGTGGAATTTGGAGCCATTATACCCAGCATCTTCTGACTCCCATATTGAGGGGCTTCAGTAGAGTTCCCCTTGCTGTCACCTCATGTAACGTCTGACATGAGTGGGGCTGTTAGTTTTTCTAGAGGTATTGTACGCCTGAGAATCTCAGATCGGTCAGGCTTCTGCCAGTATTGGACAGAATGGAACAGCTGCTTTTTAATTTCAGGGCTTCTACTTCCTGGAAGCCAAACATTGTGAACTCTAGTTTTTAGTCATCTGAAAACTTGACCATTTTAGGGGAAGACCTCAGGGCAGCCATCGGTATTCCCCCAAAGTGTGGCCAGCCACAGCCTGGGGCTAGGGTAGGCTTTCCTGAGTCCCTGGCCAAACCTGCCTTTTGGACAATGATGAGACTGTGGGCAGGATCAGGGTGTCCTCGGGGCTTGCCAGATCACTGTCTCTGGGCCCTCCCAAGTCTGGATTTATCCTGAACCCCATGGAACCCAGGTGAGTCTTCAGTAAGTACCAAAAGAAGATTTGATTTGACGGTTGGTGGCATAGGGCTAAATTAGTCACTGCCCCCATTAAAACTACAGCGGGGGGTTTAAGAGCTTTTCACGCCATGTGGGAATCAGCAGCGAAGCCAGAGGATGCCTTGGGTAAGGAGAGAGGCAGCCTAGGGGACCGCGAGGTAATGAGGTTTATGGCGATGACAAGGCAGCCAGGGAACCCCACCGACTCCCCCCTCACCCTGGCCCCATTGTTCTCAAGCTGGCTCTGCCCCCGCTGCTTCGGCTGAGAGGACCCCTCGTGACTGTGCCAGGCGGGGGCTGGTAGGGGGAATGGGGCGGTCCTTGCTGGGAGTGGTATTTGTCACCATCGGGCAATGTGGGGTGGGGGTAGTGCAGGGCTCTAAACGTGTGCGTTGGCCCCCACCCTCCCCTACTTTCTTCTAGTCAAATGATTTAAAGCTAGGATGAGCCACCTCACCTCTCAGTTCTGCGGGACCTGGAAGAGCCCTGGGAGGCTCATAGGAAAGGGTGCTACCGAAAAGAAGGGCTGAGTGCAGAGAAAAACCCGGAGGTGGCACGGTTATTGTTAGGAGGACAAAGAAGCCAGATGCAAGGTGCTAGGGGTAAAGGGGTGGATGAGTGATTGACGCTTGCCCTCGAGAAGCTCACACTGGAGGGACCCCTTTCAGCAGAGGCTGTGAGGAATCAGCCGCGAGCATTTTTGGTGCTGGAGTAGGGCGTGACTGGAGAACCGGCGAGGTGACTGGAGGCCTGACTTCACTGGTGCTGGGTTTGCATGTGCAAATCATCAGTCTAGTGGCTCTATGAGCTGGAGAAATTTAGCACAGGCTGAGAAATGGACCAGGACCCCGGGACCACCAATCCCTGCTATTGGGTACCTGCCTTGAGCTTCTGGAAGCAGGTGAATAAAGGTTTTGGTCTCAGTGGAGAAGCCACCATAGGAAGAATCTTCTCAAGTTGCCCCAGTCATAGAGACTGTTCCTTCTAAACTCACAATATGTTTAATATTGAACTTTCTGCTTGTTTTTTTTTTAATTTGCTTCTAAAACATACATTCTTAGGAGTGGGATCTGCAGTTACAAGTGTTCAGTAAATAAGACCAAGACTTTTTTCATTCATTCATCCAGCAGACACTTACGGAGCTGCTCTTGTGCGCCAGACATCACACAAGGTGCTAGGGATAAAGGGATGGATGGGTGATGTGATGCTTGCCCTTGAGAAGCTGACAGTCACATGTCAGTCATTCAGTAAACAAGCATGCCAGTGAAGACCCAGCAGCGCACAGTCACAAGCACTGTGAGGGGAAAGGGCTGGACTGTGTGAGGTCCATGGGAGACCCCTGTTAGAGGCCGGCCTTGCTGAGGAAGCGACGTGTTCCGGCCGGAGCAGTGACAGGAACTCAGCCATCCAGAAGCACTGGGAAAAGAATGCAGTGAATGTAAAAACCCCAAGCTGGAAGTGGCTGGAAGTATCCTTAGGGATCTCTGGTCATACCCAGTTTCAATTTCAGATGGATTAAAACAGGCCCACAGAAATTCAGAGTCTTTTCCAAGGTCACACAATTCAACACAGAACTGAGACTATAATTTGGGTGTCTTGCTTTCTAGCGTTGGGTGTCTGACTCCCCTCTGCAACCATTTCTATTTGTTGAAGAGCAATTTGATTGAATAATTATTATTATTATGAATAAAATGACATACTATGTAGGAAAGACTGCTGGCTCTCTTCTTTTTGCTTAATAAATTAACTCTGATTTTTATCTGAGCACATGTTACCTCGGAAAGGAGAAGGGTCAAATAATATACCCTATCTGTCCTAGAAGATGAACATGGCCATATTACTATTGGTGGTTATATTGGGCTATAAATGGGGTAAAAATATGGTGGTATATATAAATTCTAGGAATTGTCCTTCAAGGGAAGAAATAAACTCACCCTCCTACCTTTCTTGATGGCTGGGATGTTGATGCAATAGCTGGAGCTCCAGAAGCCATTTTGAACCATGAGGTAAACTAGACATGGAAGCCACACATGAGCTGAGCAACAATATTAAAAGAGCCTGGATCTCTAACACTGTCAAATGCTTACTAACTCCGTCTTGCTTCCCGAAAGATTTCTTGACCTTGAGAGAGAAATAAACTTCCTCTTATTCAAGCCATTATTATTTGGGTTCTTCATTATAGTTGAATCAATTTATAAATACAACAAATTGAATATATACATAAATGGCTTCTAAGTAGCAGCAAATTTAGAAGTTTCAAGGAAAGGATATGGGATAGTTAACAATACCTGAAGTCTAAGAAATCTACCTCAGTGACATACTATAATCAAGATCTATTTGGGTCTTAAGTTCATGGGGTTGGGCTGATCTGGGCTGGGCTTTGTTAGCTTGGCTAATCTGATCTGGGTGTCTGACTCCTAGTTAATGTGGGATGGCCTTGCTGGGATGACTGAGACACCTCAGCTCTGCTCTTCATGTTTTATCCTCTGGCAGGGTGGGCTGAGTATGTTCTTCTCATGCCATTGGCCAAAGAGAAGAGCAGAGAAAGCCCAAGAGTATAGGAACTTCAAACCTCTGCTTGTGCACAGTGTTTGCGCACATGGCCGAACTAGACTCAGGAGCAAGGAAATAGAACCCACCTACTGATGGGAAGAGCTGCAGGATCCCAGCAGCTGGAATTTAGGGAGGGATGGGGAATCAAGGTCATTAATACAACTGGTC